GGATGTGTCCACTGTGGATCTGTCTGTCTCTGTGCTAGGCCAGAAGCTCAGCATGCCTCTCTGCGTGGCAGCTACTGCAATGCAGAGGATGGCTCATTTTGAGGGAGAGACCGCTACAGCGAGGGGTAAATACACACTCACACACACAATGAAAATGATGGCCTCTGCATAGAAACTATTCTTGTGTGTAGTAGTTTTGGCTAACAGTGCTTTGTAGTGGCATCAGAGGGGAGAAGTTAGAGCAGGTTTGTGATGGTCGACAGTGATGTTTCCTGACTCTGGACACTATATATGTGTGTCTACCCAGCATGCCGAGCAGTAGGAACAGGTATGATGCTGAGCTCTTGGGCCACCTCCACCATAGAGGAAGTGATGTCAGCTATGACCTCAGTGGGTGCTGGTGGTGTCCTTTGGCTGCAGCTTTACATTTATAAAGACCGAGAACTCACACTATCATTGGTCCGTCGGGCAGAGGAGGCAGGCTATAAGGCTATCTTTGTTACCGTGGATACACCGTACCTAGGCAGGAGATGGGCTGACATGCGCAACCGCTTTAAACTGCCCTCACACCTGAGGTAGGAACCAAACACACCAGCAGGAGTAGAGGAAAATATAATGTAATGTATGATATGTATGAATCCCTCACTGTGTGTGCGTGTGCGTGTGCGTGTGCGTGTGCGTGTGCGTGTGCGTGTGTGTGTGTGTCCAGCATGTCTAACTTCTCAACAGCCTCCCTGGCTTTCTCTGAGGGGAACTATGGCAACAACAGCGGTTTGGCTGTTTATGTTGCAAAAGCAATAGACCCCACTCTCTGCTGGGACGACATCACCTGGCTGAAAAAACACACACATCTACCTGTGATTGTGAAAGGAGTACTGAATGGTACACACACGCACACACACACCTTTTGATTACCCCAATTTCAACAGTGTGTTAGATGGATTTTAATGTGATTCTCCCAAAAGTAAAATCTTGGACTTCATTTGCAAATTGATTTTCCTCTACACAGTAAAGTAACAGTAAGTCATTAAGTTCAGTGCTCAGTGTTGTTGGTATTTGCCTTCCTGAATTAAAAAAATGCTTAATGGTGCCACATCAAGCTTGCCAATTATAATTTTTTAAATGTATTTATTCATTTGGCAGGTATAATGACATACAATCCACATTAAGAGCTCTTTTCTTTACATTTTTGTCACTCTGGTCCCACACAACATTTCTGCAAGTTATTCAATTGAGCCTAGTTCAATTTTATTTGTATAGCGCCAAATCATAAACATATTTACAGAAAGCCAATAGTTCCCATCATGAGCAAGCACTTGGCGACAGCAGCACAGTAAAATAAAAAAAAAATGATACTCAACACTTCCTGTTAACAGTGACTTAACAGTGGTTAAGTCAGTGATAAAACAGAAGAAGTTGCAAAATGAAAGTACAGTACATGGTTAGAATTATATTGACATGTATTGATGTATACATCATTGGTGAATGCTTCAATGGTCCTGTAGTGTTTTTAAAAATAGGGCTCCAAACAGACTCAAACTTTCCAGATGACCCCCTCAAATTGTTCTTAATTTTCTCCAAATTTAAGAGCATCATCAGGTTTTGAGCCCTCGAGATTGTTTGGGGGAAAATGGTGACTTCCAACAATATTCTTCTACGTGCTAACAAGAATGCAAAGGAAATACTGTCCTTTATATTCCTCCTAATTATTTGCTGATCTGTAATTACTTTTAGCAGCGCTCACAGATATTACATGCCTGACTTTGGTCCAAGATCCACTTGTCAGCTGAGTGTTTGTGTGTGTGTGTGTGTGTGTGTGTGTGTGTGTGTGTGTGTGTGTGTGTGTGTGTGTGTGTTCAGGTCAGGATGCCATCCAGGCTGTGAACTACTGTGTTGATGGCATTGTGGTGTCAAATCACGGAGCTCGACAACTGGATGGAGTTCCTGCCACGGTCAGTGTGTGTGTGTGTTGTTCTTTTATGAAATAAAGAGTATCAGAATCTGATCTCTCAGAAATGATCTCTGACATGATAGTGTTTTTCACTGAACAGCTGCAGTCCAGAAAATCTTCTTTTAAGACTGTACTACTTTATTTATGATTACTAACATAATCTCAATCTTCTGTTTTATACTGCAAAAATGACATATTGTAGACTGTAGACAATAAACTTAAATATGGCATTTAAACTCGTCCTAATTGGTTTGTAATGTTTGTATTTGTAATATAGCTGCACTCTGGTCTCTGTCTTTAAAATATATTTATAGTGTTATTCTATACTTACGTATTGTCAACAAATCCCTTGTTGCATTCCCCAAATGTGTTGGTGGTCTGTTGATACTTTCTGACTATCCTATCTGTGGCACTCAAGTCCACTGGTTCCTACTGTCTCAGAAGGTCGCAGTTGGAAGCGTTCGCCTGTGATAGACGGTGATAGACAGATGGTTCTTCTAATCGATAAAGTATTTTCTGGAAGTGCTTGCCCTTTTCCAAACAGATCAGCGAACAATATAACAGTCAAACTACTTTCCATGGAGAAAAACCTTCAATGCCGTTTTCTTTCAATGAAGAAATACTCTCCAGTTCTGATAGAACTGATGTTACCAGCATCTGCGCTATTGTTTTCTTTAGCAGCCACCATGTTTAATGAACAGTGTCTTCTTTCTGCATTTCCCCTAAGCCACCAGTCCAGGGGTCAGCGACCTTTGCTATCAAAGTAGCCATCTTTGACAAAAAATAAATGTAAAATCTGTCTGGAGCTGCAAAGTATATTTGAGTCTTATAATGATAATTTCCCCCAGCAGATCAAACACACTAGTAAGACAACAGGCTTTCGGGGTGAAAGCAAACTAGCCAATTTTTTTAATTTGGTGTGTAATGGCTACACAGTTTTACAACTGGAGAATGTAAGAATCACTACAACAGGCCTACAACAATCATAAATGAAAATGTTAAAAAAAACATTAAATCCAATCCACTCGTTTCCGACCAGACAACATTTAAATGTACTGTATCTGACAATTTAAGTGTGTGTGTTTGTGTGTGTAGCTGGATGTGTTGGAGGATGTAGTGAGGGCAGTGCAGGGTCGCTGTGATGTCTACATGGACGGAGGAGTGAGGCGAGGGACAGACGTCCTGAAGGCTTTAGCTATGGGAGCAAAGGCCGTCTTCATTGGCCGACCGGTGCTGTGGGGCCTCGCCTGTCAGGTGAAGCAGCACACTCATAGACAGTGTCATTAGGCTGGATTAGGAGGGTGGCTCAGAGTCTCAACACCAATCACTCAGATGTCATATTTGTAGAGAATTAATTTTTTGGCCAACACTAGCCCAAACACTGTTAGGCATTTTGCTGGTTTCAACAGGTTAATCTTAAAGGTCCAGTGTGTAGGATTTAGTGGCATCTAGTGGTGCAGTTGCCGATTGCAACGTAAAACTTGGTGAGCACGAAAACGTGCTATCGGCCCAATTTTTAGTTTGTCTGTTCTGGGCTACTGTAGAAACATGGCGCTTCAACATGGTGAATTCCACTGAAGGTGACCCATGTGGTCTGTAGATAAAAACAGCTCATTCTAAGGTAAAAAAAATAATAATTTTAAGATGATTATACACTAATTAAAACATACCTATACATATATTCATTTTTTCCCAATAGATCCTCCTAAATGTTACACACTTTCCATACTGATTAAAGAAGTACAAAAGAAAATCAGTATTGGTTCCATGTTAATTTCGTTTAGTACTTGTTACAGTTACAATTGTTCTTACAATTTTTTCTCAAAAATAGATTTAAAAGCCAGACTGAAGACATTTTATTGTTAATGATTGGATTTTAGACTTTTTAAGAACCCACAGACACCCTGAATATGTGAAAGTGAACTCTGATCTGTCTCTCTATTTTGAAATTAAGATCCACTTCAAATTTTGGTCATTAAAGTGATTAGCATGTAACCAACCATTTACCAATATTAGCTCAAAAATAAAGATGGTTATTAAAAACTTCTATCTATCTAAATATAATTGATCTAATGTGGCACACAACTAAAGGAATGTGTTCATGTGCAGGGGGAACAGGGAGTTACGGACCTTCTGGAACTTCTGAAAGAGGAGCTGAGACTGGCTATGGCCCTGTCAGGTAAAACACACACACACCCCCCCACCCCCCACACACACACACACACACACACACACACACACACACACACACACACACACACACACACACACACACACACACACACACACACACACACACACACACACACACACACTCTTTCTAAGACCTCTCTCTCTCTCTCTGTGTGTGTGTGTGTGTGTAGGTTGTCGTTCTATATCTGAGGTGAACAGGTCTCTGGTCAGGAGAGTGGAGTTCACATCCAGGATGTGAGAGAAGAACCTGTTGGAAGGAATCACCAGATAATGCATTCATTACTTAGGGATGAAGAATCCTGATCAAGGTTTCCCCTGATCCAATCGAAGTTATCCCAATTAAATTTAGATTTTATAATGTAACAAAGCAGGCGGGGCTTTCACTGCTGTCTGTCTCTCTTCCTACAAGCAGAGTGGAGGAGAGACAGCAGAGAGAGTGGACAGTGGCTGCACTGGGCACGAAAGCTTTGCAAATAAAAACACGTGTAAATAAAATGAAGGATTGGGTCGGGTATAGCCAATACCAATCATTTAAAAATTCTTTGAGATGTGATTGAGACATCCTGCTCTTGGACATTTGGACAACTTCATGCCATTTTTCTGTATTCAGACTTGTTAAACCTTCAATCAAATCCTTTAAATAAAAAGGCTGATTTATTTTGGATGATATTGAATCTGTTTTATTTAGGGATTTTAAATTTATAATGGGGATATATTTTTCTTACCAAAGTTAAAGATTTTTGCTCAGAACACCAGATCATTTTAAAGGTTTAGAAATGAAAATATTTTCATATATGCAAAAGAAAATAGACAATTTCTGAGACATTGCTTCAAGAGACAATACTCCACTGGCCCCTCAACATACACCACGTTGTTTATTTTGCATTTCTACGTTGTTTATTGGTTCCTGGTGTGTACAGGCCTTTACTGATGCAGGACACAGTATTACGTTCTGTTCACTTCAGCCGAGTTACACTTCCATGTTTTGCTCCGTATCTATAATAAACCCTTCTGATTGGATGTCCTGTAGCACAGCATCAATCATGACATCATCCAAGAGAGAAAATATATATATATAGATTTGGCTCTTTACTTGAATAAAAACAGATTTTAGTTTACATTAATAATTTAAAAACTGATGATGAACATTATTATTCAAAGACATCACACAGTCTGGCCAATAAGAGCCTCAGTACCCCCAGCCAATCAGAACTCTCCTGTGTATTTGTCAGGGCGTGGCCTCATAACGTCTCCGTTGTCTGTAGAGGTCAAAAGTCCATTGAGGGTGTCGTGTTGATGGGTGGAGCTTGTAGTTTACTGGTTCCTCTTCTGGTGAGAGGGGCTTCTGTCTGAGGAGGTCAGAGGTCATGAAGGGGAGGAGGGAGGGGCGAGCAGCTGCCTTGCTGCCATGGCAGCGGGGGGGCAGGGCCAGCAGCAGCCTGTCCTGCAGCACCTGGCTGATCAGCTGATCCTCTTGCACATCCACGCTGACCAATGAGGTGAAGAGAAGCTGAGCGGGGGAGACATTCACTACTACAGACAGAGAGAGAGAGAGAGAGAGAGAGAGAGAGAGAGAGAGAGAGAGAGAGAGAGAGAGAGAGAGAGAGAGAGAGAGAGAGAGAGAGAGAGAGACAGTAGAAACTTAAACAAGGTTGTGAAATGCAAAATGTTCATTGAAACTAGAGTTGAAGTGAAATCTAAAAACCCAAAGTAAATGAAGACAAAAATAAGTCCAATTAGCACAGATTCCATTATTTTAAACTAAATTGGTGCTCAGTAAGTTCAATGTGGGGAGATCTAGCTAGTATCAGATCAATCAATAAATCACTAGCTCAGCTCTAATAAAGGGGGGTGTCTGATAAGAGACTGCAGTGAGGGACAGTCCAGGCAGCCTCCTCCCTTCTCCAAACAGAAATAAGGGAGGTGAGAGGTCTTCGATTCTCGCCATCAGGAGGAGGAGACATAAAATGAGGCGAATGAGAAGCACCCTGTGCATGTGTGTTACCTTCAGTAGCTCTGGTGTTGATCAGGTTTTTGGTCCTCTCTGACCTCTGTAGAGTCTCCTGAATAGCCTTCCGGGAGTTAAACTCCACCCCCTGCAGGACAAACAAATGGTTAGCCAGCTGTTAGTCAGCTCAGTGACAATATAAACATGATCTACTAAAAAACAGTGTGAACCTGCAGTGACTGGAGCTCTGCCTTCAGAGCCAAAGTGGTGTTTAGCTCTGCCATCTCCAGACAGCGTGGATCTGGATTAGATGCTGCAGCAGGAGGGTCCACCAACTGCCTGGGGGCTACACCAAGCAGAGGAGAGGAAGAAAAACGACTTTTATTGATCAATCTACTAATCAGCAACCACTGAGACAGTCTGACCGATGAGGAGGAACTAGAAATCAATACACTCTACTGGAGACAACAAAAACACTGTAAACTTATTGTTATTGATGTTGTTTAACAAAGATGGATAAAGGAAAACATTTGACGTGTGTTAGATAAGATTGTGCTGCTGTGTCCTGATGCATTATAAATATGCAACTTCTTAAACTGTGCAGAACAGAATCAATACAATATGCAAGCCTGGAAGCAAATAACTGCCATCAAGATTTGACTCTTGTAAGCAACTGGATTCCCAATTGTGAAATTTAATCACTACTCAATTCTTAACGTTGAAATTTAACCACTGAATTAATAGCAATTAAATATTTGACCTTAAAGGCATACTATGCAGTTTTCCGGTTTTGTCAAACAGCTACCTCTAGAGTCACTGCGTATTTAACGTTAACTGTCGTAAATACCACTCACCAGAGCCGTCTCTATATACGGCTCTGCATCTCTGCACTCACGGCCTGATCCCCTCCCCCCTGTATACCGGTACATGTTCAGTAGGATGGACGCGCCGGACATTGAACAGGCAAAGATAGACTCCGAAGATGTCTACTGACCAGGTAACGTCGGAGCAAATTCAATTCAATTTTATTTGCATAGCGCCAATTCATAACAGAAGTTATCTCAGGACACTTTCAAATAGAGTAGCGAATGCCTGCTATTGTCTTCTATTGAGGCTGCTTCTTATGTCACTGATGTATGTAACGTCACGCCGTAAAACAATTCGTGATTCTCGCAAGATCTGGCGGGGCGCCACCTTTCAGACTTCTGGTGCTGCCAGCGGCGTCCCTCTCCTGCTTTGCTATCGGGATGATTCGCTATACTATGAGTTCGTTTACCATCGAAATGACTTCGAAACTGTTATATTATGGTAAAAATCTTGCATAGTGTGCCTTTAAAAAGACAAACATCTATCTGAAATCCCCTCTTCCAAATATTCAATAGTCACCTTTAAAACCTTTAGTATAAATAAGTATATACATGTTTTAGGGTTTACAATTTCAAAGAGAAATATTCAAGTACTTCAATATAAAAAAAACATCTGGGATACTAAGGAAAATCAATGGAGCCTGAATACTCTCTGTGTGTACTATCTATTCCCTGTCAGACCTCTGGCCTATCAGGTTACGTTCCGTCTATCACGTGATCTTTGCCCCTGTTAAGGTCAAACTTTGTACTTAACATGTCGAAGAAAAAAGAGATTTTTTGTATGGATTAAACAGTGTGTTCGTTTGCTCTAATGTAAGCTGCTGCTAGTGTTAGTTTACTATCTACAATAGTACTGAAGACCAGCACTGGTAAAAAAAAAATACACACACTCTTTACCCAAGTAGAAGTAAAGACACTTAGGTAAAAAAAATAAGAAACGAATTAACTCAAGGGAAAAAGTACAGGATCTGAAATGTGTTCAAGTAAAACGTCCTCTTTGTTTCTATGAAGGACATTTCTACTGGCTGTTTCTGTGCAAAGCTTCAAACAGGGTTGAGTCTCCCTCTCTGGTCTCTGACACAGAACGACATACTCTACTCCTAACTTCATAATCCATGATTATTACAAATATTACAAGCCACAGGAGGAGCCATGTTACATTTAGCCTTTTTTTTACTTTGCTCTACAATCTATTAGCGATCAAAAGCTTTTAATGTAATAAAGGTGGAGTGACGGGGTACACTAATGAGTACTACCAATTATTTTCACGTCACTGAGAGTAATCTGGGCTTTTACACAAACGTCAGTACTGATGATGTTGTGAATGTTACCCCCAACTCAGAGCTGTTATTGTGTGTCCACAAAGTAGGCTTTATATTTTTGAATCTCCTGTCAAGTTTTAGAATTTCAGAATGTTAGCGCTGCATGAGTGGCAGCTAGTCACAAGCCCTGTGTTAGCCCTGTGCCACACACCCCTTTGCTGCGTGGAGAGGCTGGAGATCCCCTTGGAGATACGGCGAAGGAGGAGAGGATGCAGAGCGGGAGTAAAGTGCAGACAGCGGAAAAGACGCTATTAACCATGTTTAAATTAAATTTTATTTGTATAGCACCAATTCATAACAGAAGTTATCTCAGGACACTTTTCAAATAGAGCAGGTCTAGACCGAACTCTTTATAACATTAATTACAGAGACCCAACAGTACCACCATGAGCAAGACCTTGGCGACGGGGGCAAGGAAAAACTGCCTGTTAAGAGAGAGAGCGAGCATGAAAAATGTGCTCCTGAATTCATCTCAAACATGGACCTAAACAGTGGGACATTCTGCAAAAAAAAACATCAGAATTTTCTTCAAAAAAGGACTCTAAAGAAAAGGTAAATACTTTATTAGCAAAACAGAAGAAAGAAAATACCATCTTTGGATATATTTTTTTAAATGAAAACAACCAGCTGACTGTCAAAAGCTAGCTGGCAACTGTGTATCAACTGCTGTAAGCTACCACCTGCCACAGTGTAGAACATTTCTAAGGAGGAACCAGACTAAATAAGATAACAGAAGAGGTGTTTTATGAAGATAAGGAGGAGAAGAAAAGAACAAACCAAAAATCATAACATTAATAACTGTCTTTAAAGGCTAAAAAAGCTAGCAACAGTAAAGAATTAACAAAGTGGTCACCATGGAAACAGCCAAGCAGAGAACAGAGAGCAGGGAGGTTAAATACCCTGCTCTCTGTAAGAGTGCAGCAGCCAGGGAGAAGTTTAAGGAAAAGACACTTCAGGAGAACAAAGTAGTCTTGTTCACGGACTATGCACTACACAAAGAAGGGAGGAAGAAGAACAACCTCATATTCTTCACAGACTCCATATACATCTGGAAGGAAAGTCTGTGCAAGAAATATCCTTACATCTCCAGTGAGGGCATCGGCTCAGGAGGTCGATTGAAGATTTGTAAGGATAAACACATGAACAAGGATGACCCCCTGCTCACCATCACCTACTACACAAAGGGAAAGGTGATGGTCAAGGGGGACGAAGCAAACTTGAAATCCTTTGAAGAAGTTCTCTCCCTGATCAAAGCTGAGGTGGACACCATGAGGTGCAATGTTCCGTGTGACAGTGAAGATGATAAGAGCCCAACAGAGAACCCTACCACCATGTCCATCTCTGCCCCTCCCACACCTGCCAGATCCACCAACCAGCTGAAGGAGAGTATGGCCCGGCTGGAGCTGGACTTTGCTGAATTCAAAGAGCTGACCCAGGCCAGGCTGTCTGCCCCCCTAGACAACTTTGTGCAGCAGCTTCAAGAGGAGCTCCAGCAGCTCGAGAGAGACAACCAGGCCTCGACATCTGAGCTAAGAGGAAGTGTAGAGGCACTAAAACAGGAGAACAGTGTGCTCCGGGCTCAGTTAGCCAAAGTGAAGGAGGACGCTGAGAACAGAGAAAGGAACTTCACCAGGCAAGTCCGACACCTGACAGACCAACTCCCAACAGTCCCCACAAAGACAACTACAGAGACAGAGACACAGACTCTCCCTGCTAGTCTTCCAAACCCCTGCCTTGTCTCTGTCCCACCATCTCTGCTCTGCACCCTACCAACACCCACACAGCCAGCTCCCAACAGCCAACTCTGTCCATCCCAGCTGCCCTCCACTCAGCCTGAAGAACAAGCCCCACAAGTGGTCCTGCTGGCTGACTCAAACGGGAAATTCCTGGACACCAACAAGCTTTTTCCTTCTAAGAAAGTGCTGTCTAAACGTTGCAGCACCACAGGCCAGGCAATGAAGCTTTTGAGAAAGGAGACCCTCGGGAGCCCTCAATGCCTGGTGATCCACACAGGAACAAACAACACCCGCATCATGAGCTCCACCCTGCTACCTAGAACAGACACCCCTCCTCAAGTCATCCATGACACCAATATGGAGATCAGAAGAGGTTGTGCCACCTTACCCAACGTCCACCTGGCCCTCCATCCAACCATTGGCACCTGGGACCTCTACAATGGACTCCATCTACACAGAGAGAAGGTGAATATCTTTGCAAAGACCCTCAAAGACACGGCCCTAGGACGCAGCCCTTCCACCCTCTCTTCTACCAGAAGCTTCAGAGACCATCACAGACCTCCTCCCCCCCATCACCAGCCCCGGATCATCCCCCCTGCTGTGAGGAGACACACCAGCTCAGCCCGGACCCCACACTACCCACACGCCCACCTCACCACTGTGAAAACAGAACCAGCTGAGGCCACTTTCCCCCTCCTCAGTCCCTGCCCAACAACCCCTTATACAGTATCGGCAGCAGAGCCATGGAGCAGCACGTCCCCCTCCCCACCCACAGCAGCAGAGCTATGCTGAAGCTGTAGCCCGGCCTGCTGTCACAGCCCCTCCCCCTGCTACCTGTGAGCTGAGAGACATCAGTGAGATGCAGCACACCCATTTTAATGTTCATTTCATATTAGCTGTTGGAATATTCAGGGTCTCCACTCCTCAACCTTTGAGCTGAAGAGTGGAAACCCTGAGTTCATGAAATCTATCAAAGATGTTGATATCGTTGTATTGACAGAAATATGGTGTCAAGATGATTTGCTCACTCACTGTCCCCCAGGATATAATGAAGTCATGGTAACCTGCATAAAACTAAAAAACATACACAAGGGTAGAACATCGGGGGGGATTTTGGTGTGGTATAAAGGAGATCTTTGCAATCAGATCTCACCAGTAAAACAGGGTAAATCGCACATTTGGTTGAGGTTAGATCAAACCCTAGGCATAACCGATAGGGATCTATACCTCTGTGCAATTCACATACCCCCCAGTGGATTCTCCTTATTTTGAAGAGACATTTTTGACACCCTAAATTCAGAAATCGCCTATTTCCAGGCCCAGGGTAATGTACTTCTAACCGGAGATCTGAATGGACGTACAGGAATTGAACCTGATATCATTGACACACAGGGCAACAACCATGTATTTGGTCAGGCCCCC